GGATCGGTTCGGATCAGATCGTATCGGATCAGGTAGGATTTGATTAAATTGGGTCGGATCGGATCGGATCGGATCGGATCGGGTCGGATCGGATCGAGTCGGGTCGTGGTAGGGCGGGGCGAGGTAGGGCGGGGCGGGCCGGGCCGGGCTGGGAGGGGGCCGGGGCCGGTGCCAGGGCCAGGAGTAGGATCGCGACCGCGACGACGACCGGGACCTGGGCAGGGTCAGGTTCGGTTCAGAATCGGGGCCGGGACGGCGGCTAGGCCTGGGGCTGTGTTGGACATGTAGGACGTGATTTGATCTGTGGTCAGACCACTTCGTGTTCGATGCTCCAACCAGCCTTGGTCACATCCCCTGTCAACCCCATTTTGCCTAGCTCTGCATATCACAGACCATATCACATCCTGACTTGATCTGATCTGTCCTGACCTGTCCAGCCCATCCTGCTCCAGCTCAGTGTAGTCCAGCCCCAAGTTCAGTCCAGCCCCCGGCCCAGTCCAGCCCTCAGTTCAGTACATCCTAGCCCTGATATGTTTTGCATGTAGTATGGCATCATCATGTTTGACTGATGCCGTTCAGGGAAGGAAGACCCTGAGATTAGCAATTGTCCCTCCGTTGCAAGAGCGCCGCTGTTACGCGCCGGCTGCTGTTGCCGTCCAGAGTAGAAGCCGGCACAGGGCGCTAGTTGACAGCCTTCCCCTGCCGACGGGCGGCTGTCACCAAGCACAGGGGCGCCGTCGCTAGACACTGCCCAATGCAGAAGTGATGCTGTTGAACGCCGGCGGGTCGCCGTCGTTCGACAAAAGGGCTTGCAAATCAAGCTGACAATGTGAACACGACTTTGACCAGATGGCAGAGCTAGCTCCGTGGGACTCCGATCTGGCATGGCATGGTCGTTGTAGTTAGGATGCTCGGTATGCCGGATTGATACGTGACAATACAGATCGCCATAGTTCGGGGACGACTTGTGCCAAAGGCTACGTGCTCTGTATGATACCTGATTAGCCTTAATTGTGTATTTTGTGCCCGGGCTTGCCAGCGAAGCGGTCTTCATTCATAGGCGGATCCTGGGGGGGGGGGGGGGGGGCGGCCACGGGGCCATGGCCCCCCAAAAACTCTGAGAGTATGTTTTGCCCCCCCCCCAAAAAAAAAATATTCCCAGAACTTCATAAAAGTTACCTCTTGTTACCGTCTTTCTAACTTTGATGGTGCGGTATCAAACATTTTTTATGTTTCGGAAAACAACTTGCTGAAGGAAAGTTGGCAGCGATTTGAATATGAAAACAAAAGGCATGTTGACGCGGCTTAGTCATACTCGACGCAAACATCGTGTTTGATAAGTGCACTGGGCCTCGGATCCCACACCAGCCAGCTGGCGACGAACGGTTGCCCCCCTCCCCCCGAAAAAACTCCAGGCTAGATCCGCCCCTGTCTCCATTGACGTTTAGTAATTGTTGTATGCGAGGGCGTTTTGCGTTATATTTTGTGCGGGACGAGAAAGATTTGGATACATAACTGGCATGCATTGTTTTAACGAACGCGCTATGAATGAGTTTCATAAAAGTTACGGCGGGAATATGGACTGTGAAGCTGTATCTCGTGTGGCAGCTCCAATCTTAACCCATTTTTGTCATTTTCCGCGTTCTTCTCCCGATTGGGGCATACAGCCAACTGGTCGTTGTGAATTATTATAAAAGTATTTCGGTGTCTGAGGTTAATGCTGGCGTCAGGCTGGCGGATACAGCGTCGAGCCGGCGCATGAGCCATATTTACATACCAAGTCTGGGACCTTCTGGCATTTCCAACGGAACACATACGTTTGTCATCCGGAAAATGCCACCTGTGTCGTTTGCCTCATGGGTGTATACCCTTGGTATATATGGAGCATCTTTGGATTTAATATACGTATATATACATATATATATATATATATATATATATATATATATATATATATATATATATGTGTGTGTGTGTGTGTGTGTGTGTGTGTGTGTGTGTGTGTGTGTGTGTGTGTGTGTGTGTGTGTGTGTGTGTGTGTGTGTCCTTGTTGCTTTATTGCTATGTAAGTCAACGAAATACCAACAGAAAATTGCTGGGAGACACGTATAACATGATTCAGAAACAGTCATGCTTCACGCCACGCCAAAAACGCGCTTGCGATGTGCTAAATTCAGATGCCAATGAAATATTTCAGTTGTGGTCACCCGTCCCTATGGCATCCTGGATGCTCCCCACCCTTGATCTGCATCCTGCCAACAGTGTACGGAATCATGTTGTTAGCGAGCAAACGGGCCGTCGCTGCGGGCGCGGCGGCGGCGTCTCTGCGACGATGTGAGCGGCTCCTCTGCCGATTGGGTCCCACGATCTGGAACCCGTATGTGGGCCACGTGGGTTTATGGGGACACGCGGGCGGGGACGCACGGTCCCTGCCGAGCAGTCCACGTTCAGGCTCCGACGGCGTGGCTCGACGCGAGCCGCGTCAGCGTTGTCGTTGAGACGACGACGACGACGACGACAACCTCGGAGTGTGCGACACCGCCCTTCCAAGCAAGCTCTCTCTTACATTTGCCTCGCAAGTATTTGGCTAATAGAAACTCTTCATTTTCAACGTCTGTTTTTTAATCAAGTCGATGATCCTCCGGAATACTAACGAACTCTTTCGCACGAACATTCTGGTCCTCCGGGCCGGATGTAAGTGAACTGTTGAACGGATTACAGTGTTCAGTGACGACGAAACGCAGTGTAATCAGTGATGTCTGACAACCGGTCAGGACAAGATGGTGATGCAAGATCAAAACGAAGCAGGATGTCCTACCGCACCCGGAGTGAGGCAAGTGCCAACACAGCCTCCTCTCGCCTCATCGAAGCTCACCGCCGATCTGCGTTGAGCAAGCTCCAGGCGGAACAGGGGCAGCGCGCGGTGGCAGTTAAGGCGGAGCTGGCGTGGCAACAGGCGGAGACAGAGGCGGAGCTGGCGCGGCAACAGGCGGAGCTGGCGCGGCGACAGGCAGAGGCAAAGGCAGCGGGAGCTGAAGGATGAAGCGGAGCGCCGCCAGCTGGAGCTGGAGCTGCCGGAGCAGGAGGAGCGTGGATCTCTGCACGCCGGCGACGCTGCGTCATTCGTCAGAGGCCCATTGGCAACTGCAGCTAAGCCGCCTGTGCAGCTGCGTGAGCAACCACAGTCGGACGTCTCGGCCGCACGCATCAGGGATTGGCTCTCCCAGCTGCAACCGAACGTGCGACTAGCCAGTGCAGAGCCTGCCAATGTCCCGCCTGGACCGGCACCTCTGCTGCAGCGCCCGACCGGTGCTGCGAGACAGGCGAATCCCCATCTGCCGCGGATAACGTTGGATAAGTTCAGCAGCTCCGCTCTCGAATGGCCGAGATGGGTCGCCCTGTTCAAGGCGCTGGTGCGCGACCGTGCCGACCTCACAGACGTTGAGAGGCTGACGCATCTGCAAGCACACCTGACCGGGCCGGCAAGAGAGGCGGTACGTGGAATGCTCTGTGACGCCAGCCTCTACGGCGCAGCCCTGTTTGAGCCAGAAGAGGAATTTGGCGACCCAGCGCGTGTGATATACGCAACTATGAAAAAGCTCCTCTCGGCACAACCGGTCAGAGATGGTGAACTGTCTGCTCTGACCGAGTTGTCACGAGACCTGCGCACTGCAGTGAGCGTCCTGCAGTGTCTGCAGTACGAACCAGACCTCGCCGCCGCCACAAACGTCACAGCTTTGGCCGGCAAACTTCCTGCCAGTCTGACATGGAGATGGGGAGAGCATGTCGCGGAGAACGGCATCACTTGCCCCACTCTAATCGACCTCGACGGGTGGCTGCGTCGGCATGTCGCTGCTGGCCGTGTGGCATCGACACAGGCGAGCCACAAGCCGTCACCTTAAGTCGAGGGCAACACCCCAGAAGGCCGACCGAGGCGAGTGTTCGCTACAGCGTCAGCTGTAACGGTCGTAAAATCGCGGAAGATTGCGACCATTAACCCGCCGGCGGCCGCGGGACGTGACGCGTGAGCCATGTGCCAAGGTACACACAACATACAGTGCTGTGACGCATTCCTGGCGTTGACGGTGAGCGAGAGGGCAGAATTTGTCGGCAGAAGCGGACTCTGCTTTAACTGCCTGTATTGCGGTCACATCAGCGCCAGCTGCCCGCGAGACAAGAGATGCGAAGCCGAGCGCTGTGGGAGACGGCATCACACGCTGCTCCACAATGGCATGCGAGTGTTCCCACGGCGCAATAAGATTGACAGCTCGCCGCCGGCTACAGACGCTAAACACGTCGGCACAGCGGCGACTGAGCCACGCAGCCAGGTTCTACTACAAGTAGTGCCCATCACCGTGCACGGTCCCTCGGGGAGTCACACGACCCACGCTCTCCTGGATCTCTGGAGCCAGGTCACGCTGGTGACCGACGACCTCTGTGACCGGCTCGGTATCTCGGGGCCCTCGGACGGGCTGGTCCTGAGTACCCTAAACGGAAGTGAGCGGCTCCAATCACGGCGTGTAAGTTTCTTAGCCCAGCGTGTAAGTTTCTTAGTCGACTTCGGCGACAACAGGCACGTTATCCGAGACGCTCAAACGACGCCTACTCTGAATGTATCGAATCATTCAATGGACTGGTCAGTCGAGAAAAACAGCTGGCCCCATCTCACCGAGCTCGACATTCCGATTATGACCCGCGGCCCGGTGAAAGTGCTGCTGGGCACAGACATGCTCGAACTGATAGTGCCGTGGGAGGTAGTAGAAGGGCAACCAAGGACGCCGAGCGCGGTGAGGACTCTGCTCGGCTGGACTGTGACCGGCTGCATGCCGCGGCGGTCGATGCACGCACTAGGCGATAAGCGTGTGCACCACGTCCGAGTCAGTGATGAAAGGAGTGCTCTTCTGGACCTTCAAAACCAGGTTAAGCATGTCTGGACGACAGAGGCCTTCGGTACAAGGTACGAGAAAGCACAGCTGCACTCAGAAGCGGACCAAAGAGCGATGTCCATCCTGGACAGTACCACCAAGCGGGCCGGCGATCGGTACGAAACCGGTCTCCTGTGCCGCTGCCCCGACGACTGGCCAGCCGCGCCTGCCTGCCTGAAAGCCCGCCCCGGAGACGAGGAGGCGGCCGAAATGAAGGTGACAGCGTGCGTCACTGTTCCGGCAGCGCCGACCATAAACGCCAGCCGGTACCCATCGTGGCTGAGGCTGCTGCGCGTGACATCATGGATGCACCGCTTCGCCCACAACAGCCGTGCCAAGACGGATCGACGATCGGGGCCACTGACCGTTCACGAGCTGCGTGACGCTGTCTCGTCTGGCTCCGCAACGCCCAGGCAGAGCAGTTTGGCCCCGAAATCGCCGCTCTGCAACAAGGAAAACGGCTACCAACCGGCAGCCATCTCCACCAGCTAGCGCCCTTCATGGACTCGAGCGGCCTGCTGAGAGTCGGAGGGCGACTGCGTCATTTCCAGCTCGACTACGAAGCCAAGCATCAGGTAACACTACCTGCGAAGGAAGACGCCACACGGCTGATCGTCACCGACCATCACAAGAAGCTAGCACACGCGGGCGCTGAACACGTCCTGACTCACATCCGGCAGCAGTTCTGGGTCATCTGTGGCCGGGCGGCCGTAAAGCGATACACCCGCGCCTGCGTGGTGTGTCGTAAACGGTCAGCTCGGGCAATGCCACCATTGATGGGCGACCTGTCAGCCTTCCGCGTGGGTAACCCGGCCCCATCGTTCGCTAGAGTGGGCGTGGACTTCCTCGCACCCTTGGCGGTGAAGAGACAGCGTAAAAGGGAGAAGGGATATGGCTGTCTGTTCACCTGCCTGTCCATTCGAGCAGTCCACATCGAGCTGGCTCACTCGCTGGACACCGACTCACTCATCATGACGATGAGACGCATGATGGCGAGACGCGGCAAGACCAAGCTGGTTTGCTCGGACAACGGGACAACCTCCGAGCCGGTGAGCGCGAGCTGCGCCAGTCGCTGCAGCGGTGGAACCACGCCAAGATGGCTGACACGCTGTCACAAGAAAGCGTGGAGTGGAAGTTCAACCCTACGGCCGCGCCCCACTTCGGCGGCGTGTTCGAGCGTCTGGTGCGCTCAGCCAAACGTGCCCTGTCGGCCGTGCTGGGCGACAGGGTTGTGGATGACGAGACGCTTCGGACGGTGGTTACCGAAGCCGAGGCTTTCCTCAACGGCCGACCGCTGACGCACGTCAGCACCGATCCCGACGACTATCAGCCACTAACGCCGAACCACTTCCTCATCGGAAGGGCTTCTCCTCAGCTGCCTCCTGGCGTGTTCGAGGATGGTGACCTGTGCCGCCGACGGCGCTGGAAGCACACACAGGTGCTGCTAGATCACTTCTGGCGGCGCTGGTGGCGGGAGTATCTTCCTACGCTGACCATGACAGCGAAGTGGTGCAGAGACACGGCCGACATCAAGGTCGGCGAACTCGTGCTGTCGGCGGACGATAACGTGCCCCGTGGGCACTGGCCAGTGGGACGAGTGGCCCGCGTGCTTCCTGACGCAGACGGCCGGGTTCGCGTTGTGGACGTGACGACACCCACCGGGCAATACAGGCGGCCTGTCACCCGCCTCTGCCGTCTGGGGCATGACGCAGACGAGCGCTGATGTGACGGGACGGTGGCCGTGCGCGCCCCGCCTAATGAGTAGTTTGTGGCGGTGCCTTGCGACACTGCCGCACTGTGACCATGTGCGCCGCGATACTGTAGTTAACAGTTTATGATGTCGTTTGGGATACTGTCATTTGCTTGTAATAGATTTGACTTGAAGACATCCAAGGCACGGAAGCATGGACCCAGGGACTAAAAACTTGGTGAACAGAGAGATTCCAACACAAGACATTAAAATGTCCTCGCTTTTAACTTTTGCGAAAGTGCCAAACGTACGCGCTCGGTGCTCAAGTCTGTCTGTCAGTCGCTTTTTGGAGGTTGGTGGTGGCATTATTATAGGTAGCTGCCCGGAGCTGCCCGGAAGCCCAGGCCGCCCGAACCCAACGACCGCCGGACCGTCCAGAGCCGTGGGAGCCGCCCAAGCCACTGGATGCCATGGAGCCGCCGGAGCTACCCAAGCCCCAGGGCCATCTGGAGCCGCCCGAGCCGCCCAAGCCGCCGGAGGCCACGGAGCTGCCGGAGTCGCCCAAGCCCCCGAACGGCCCAGAGCCGCCGGGGCCGCCCAAGCCGCCGGAGGCCACGGAGCCGGACCACCCACCAGAGCAGCTGGTGTCCCCGGAGCTTCCCGAGCCGCCGGAGCCGCCCCGGCCGCTGGAACTGCTGGAGCCGCCGGAGCCATCGGAGCCCCAGGAGCCGCCCCAGCCACCAGAGCTGCTCCCGGAGCCGCCGCCCCCCCCCCCCCCCCCCCCCAGCTAGAGGCCACGATGGCCTGTTGAACCAGCCCAGACCAGTAAGTTTAAGCGAAGTTGTCTGTCGTAGAACACTCATAGTTTGTTTGTTAAATCCGCGCTGTACGAAATCGTGCTATATTGGCTTCCGATGACGCACATAAACCATTTGTTTCGATACACTTCAAATGCTGGAAGTGATCCCTATTTTAACAAAAAAAAAACGAGGTTCGCTTGAAGAAGAACCGCTGTGACTCCAGGATAACATAAGTACCAAAGCAATTTCAATAATGTAGCGTCGACAGATATTTTGACATAAGAAATCAATGGGGATGCATAAAAGCAGCGAACCGTTGCTGACAAAAACAAAACTATTGGCAGGCAACGTAATGGTCGAGAAGTGTCTGCTGCGCTGGGATGCAGACCCCTTCAGCTGCACGTAAATAATAGCATATGCTCATCGAGTCAAAACGCACACAAATGGTGATAATGCGAAATTCTGTACTTGTTTCATTTCAACGCAGCAAGTGAAGAATTTCAAACATGGTAGACAATGAATGCTGATGTGTTGTTCCCCTAAACCCCTCCCCCCCATAGGAATGCCAGATATGCCTGCAGCCGTGGGATAACCAGGCCCGCCGGGGCGAGGTCAGACGCTGCCTGCATGCCTACGGCTGCCTGCGATGCCTGCGAGCGATCCAGGCGCGGGCGCCCGGAGGGCGGGCCAGGTGCCCATTCTGCCGAGGCCACTTCTGGGAGCCTCCCAGAGAGTTCTTTTTTGTAAACGCGGGCGAATGTTGTCGCAGTGTTGCAACGCTTTAAAAAAAAATATAGTTGGAAAACGTGCATGGCTATTGATATTCGCTACTACGTCAGAGAGCGGAGATGTGAGGAAACCAGAAGAGGCAGGGAGAGTGCTGTCACTTTGCGAAGCGCAATGCAATGGGGAAAGGGAACGTAGGCCAGTCACCGTTGTTTCTGAGCATAATACCACTGGAGGAAACACGATATGCACGCAGTGTAATGACAAGTGCATGATCCCTAACCCAGGTGTGCTCGCAACTTGCTATTGACACGAACGACACAACAACGCAGGGTCAGCACCTACAGCTGCTGATGAGATCCGGTGCTGGACACATGTTGGTGCGGGGATCACACCTGCATTGTTAACAATCTACGAGTGCTCGCTTTTTTGCCACGTTGGGGTTAAACGATCGGTTTAGTGCTGAGTGTCGTGAAAAATACCCATCAATGTCTTCCAATAACATCACAGTTGACATCTTTTTTACCTTTCCCTAGAAATGCGGCTGCAAGGTTCTAGTTGAATTATCTTATTGGATCTGCTTTTGCTTCGGCGAAATTTCACACAAAGACACGTTCAAGGAATACGCCGCTTATCAGCAAAGAATATCACACCGAAAAAGTAACGGGGATCTTTTCCTATCGCACATCACCGGTTACTTCTTGCTCAATCAAGGATGTAGTTGCGCGAGATGAGATCAGACAAAACGGCCCCTTCGCAAAATATGAATCGATCTTTAATGTCACGTAGTTTTTTTTTTAATTAGAAAAACCAAAGTTGTTTGCAGTGTCTATTCGCAAGCCTCTACATACGTTGTTTTTGCTGAACGACTCAGCTCTCAGTTCGCATGCATGTGGTTGAATTAATTACATGCATTAGAAACAGAACAGTCATGCTAAGAAATGTGCTCATCTTTGCTAAATACGTATTACTAAGTTCTGGAGCAATTTCGGCTTAGCGAGCAGAAGATGAGCAGAGCATTTATGCTGCGTGCAAAGGCTGCATTATTCTTAAGACCCAATATAAGATGGAGTAAAGATGCCACTTGGTTCACTGAAGTTTTGAAAAGTGTTAGTAAAACAGCAGCTTGGTGACCATGCTGGGGCCCATTGTGAATGCATGGAGCGATGGCGGAATGGATGCGATTAGCGCTTATAGGTCCTTGTGGGAATCCGGATTCAACCCCTGCTGCGCCATGGCCCCCAACGTTGGTGTTTGCAGGCGATGGCGCTCCATCCAAAGGAGACATATTAATATGCTTTGTCCGGACAACGAAAGTATAGGATTGTTTTTGACATACAACGCAGGAAATACTCCTTTGCCTGACTTTGTGATGTGGGTCACCGCTTGTCCTTGGCGCGTCAAAGGTGTAAATCGGTAGCGAACAGCCAGAATTGTTTCCAAGTGGAGCGGGGTCCGGAGCTCGGTGAGCACACATTGCGCCGATTTTCAACTTTTTGTCAGCAACCATATATGACTAAAAACCAGATGCGGATCTAAGCGGGGGGGATGGATTGTGGCACCTGGTGTGAAATCCTTTGATTTGTGCCTCAAAATTCAAATTCCGGATTCTTTTCGTACAAATAATGCAGATCCGAAGCAAACCAGCAAAACAAACAGCAATTATGAGCGTTATCCACTAGATGCTACGGACGGCTTGTTGGCACGGCACGCATTGGAATTTTCCGGATTATGTCATATCGTATATCGTGCCCAGTACTTCCAGCTCTGGCCAGGCACTCAGAAGTAGTGCGAAAGTTTTAAGAAGAGAGCTTGCGACAATTTCGGATCCAACTCGGAGGCATGGAGCACAAATTTCGGTACATGGGTCGCGTATGATCAGACGTCCTGGTCCTGGACCCAAATTTTCCTTACGACCCAGAGGAAAGCATCGTCAAGCCGCAAAGCAAGGAGACAAGTAGCCGATCCACGGCTGCCTTCGCACAGGCGCAGCGAGAGTGTGGAGAGCGCAGGGGAGGATGCTACAGGTCTCTCCTAAGAATGGCAGTGACGCAAAGCCGAAAAGGAATGAAAGGATATCTGTTACCCTGGAAATGAACAACCGGATAGCGTGCCGGGATTTCCAAGCACTTGTAGTTTCTCATGCTTCGGTAGATGGCGCTAATCATAACCAGGCAGTAAAAGCCGAGCAGTTGTCAGGGCGGGGGAGGCGCCGCACGGGTCCCCCGTAATCGCTGCCGGCCCAAGCCGCTCTGTCATTGGACAAATACCTCACTACGTCATTCCGCCTACGGCATAAGACAACGGTCGGCGGCGGACGGCGGACCGCACTCCGTGGTAATGTCGTCGGCCGGCTGTATATGCGCGGCGGAGGCTTCCGGGAACGCCGCTGACGGCCAATAAAGGCGAAGATTCATACCCTGACGGCCGCCCCAGAAACAAAATTGGGCATTCTGCACTTTGGACATTGTGTACCCTGGACATTGTGTACACTGGACATTGTGTACCTTGGACAATACGTACTTCGGATGTTTTGTACTTTTGACATTATGTACCTTGGACATTGCGTACCTTGGACATTCTGTACTTTGGACATTCTGTACCCTGGACATTATGAACTTTGGACATTCTGTACATTGGACATTGTGTACTTTGGACACTGTGTACCATGGACAATCTGTACCTTGGACACTATGAACACCTCCACACCGAGCCATTTTGGAAGTTATTTCTCGTTTTGGACGTTCTGTACCTTGGACATTATGAACTCTGGACATTCTGTACATTGGACATTCTGTACTTTAGGCATTCTGTGCCTTTGGACATTGTGTACCTTGGACAATATGAACGCATCCCGGTGAAAGTCAAACAGGTTATAGCATGGAACGATGTCAAACCAAAGCCAGTCTCCCGCATTCCTATCATGGTTTCCACCAATTTACTGTCACATCTTGCCGTGGTGACATCATCGTTATGCATCTTAGCTGCAATCTAGCTATCGTCAAAAGGCATGGGAATAAAACGACTTGAATGCATCACAAGGACATCACATGGACCATCGGGCATACCAGGCTTCTCAAGCCACCATATTTCCCACGCTGTTCCACATTGAGCGCCATTGCCCGTTGCACGTGACGCGGCGCACGTGCAGAGGCAGATGAAGCGTCAAAAACGTGGGTGCTGCACGCATTATCAAATGACACTCTACTCCTTCCCGTTTCGTAGTATTCAGGTAAGTTACCCACGAATTTGTTCTAGTCAAACCTGCTGACAAAGACATTGTCCCGAACGAAGCCAAATGCAATCCTACACTCGCCTATGACACCGCTCAACCGGAAGGGCATTCCGGTTACGGACGGACGGACGGAGGGATGTTCCGGTTACAACGGACAGCATTGTCGCCCTGGGCGGTTGTCATTAAGCCGTTGAGTTCGAGAATGGCGGCGCCGCTTCCAAGAAACGCCCACGAGCTGAGCACTCAGCACCTCATCAGCCTCGACAGAACCATAGACTGGCTGAGATTAGTGGGGGAAGCCGAATGTCTTCTTTCATTTGCACATACAATGACTTCCCGAACAAAACAAGTAGCCTTGCACGACCTTGGCTTGGATGTAAAATTAAATGCTAGACTTTCAAGCAGGTTGTCACTCAATTCCAAAATCTCTTGCTACCTTTGCGTTAAAATGTTACCAATGCAACGCAACCCTGGTGCTAGGGATGCTTCAACGTCGTTATCTATGGACAGTTCTTGGCCCCTCCGCTCTGCAACGGACAACATTGGAGTAGTCTTGTTTGTTGGTCTGGTTGCTTGTTATTACTTTTAATTGCTATGAAGTATGCTTGCTTGTAAATAGCTGACATCACGGCTTCCTCCTGGCGCGCGACTGCGCCCGCGCAAGGCTAGACACGTGTTTTGGCGAAAGGAAGAAACATGCGTTTTACCCCGCTATCAGCCAATGGGCCCTGGCTGCGGAATATTGGCCTCATGTCACGCGTACATGTGTGGTTGATAGTGAACGAGCACGAACAATTTGAGGGTTTTCGATTATGGTAACTCATTACGTGTGTGGACGGACCACGCTCTCAAACCTGGTCTGTACGCATTAGTATTGTGATCTAGCCCTGTAAACGGGCAAATGCTATTTCATTTTCATCTGGCTAGTGTACGATCGAGCACGACTTCCATCATACTACCGCGGCCACGTGATGTGTCGCTTAGGCTCCCTCTTACACAATGGCATACGCCATGCGAATAGGCCCTGCAACTTGCGATGAATTATGCATAGTGGTGGGATCCATGACGCCACGTTGCTCAGTCGAAGCGGATGGAATCGGTGTCTTCATTTTTCAACGATTTTTGGTGGCTCTGTATCACGTGTTGCTATACGTTATCACTGCAAGCCTGGTCACTGGCGCGGTGCAAGCGTGAACTAAGTGGAACTTGAACCGCCCGTACCGAATGAAGGGAATGTAACTTACGCATGGAAATGGGCTGCAATTAGTCCGTCTTTCCTCATTCCCGCTTTATCGGCAATCCCCGCGACGTCCCGTCTGACTGGGAACAGAGGGATGCATCAGCCATGAGTGGACAAGTGCCTCAAGGGCAAGTGCCCCTGGCAAGTGCCCCTAACGACACCTTCCGAGTTTACGCACAAACACGGATAGAGGTTCCTGTGCGGGCTAAGTCTAGGCGGATGGACCTCCGGCGCGTGTAGTTTTGCCCATCGTTATTCCCTCTTCTTCATTCCTTAACCCATAAATGGCCACTCCCTACCGGAAGGCCAATAGCTGGTAACCAATTTTCATACTACCCACTAACCAAATGTGTGCAACTCTGGTACCGCAAGATTACAGCTCCTTACAACCCGAATCGCCCTTTTCCTCTGCTAGCGTGGGAAGCGCGGACTGTGGCGCTCTGCTTCGCCAGCGCAGACTGGTAATTTGAGGGTCCGGCATTGCAAGGCAGGCCCTCAGACCTCCATCCATTCCCTCGAGCCCTTAATTGACATCTTCGAGGGCCCTTCTGGCCCTCTGGACTTGAGGGGCAGGTGCACGCGAACCGAAATGAAGCATTTCATTCGGCTGAAGACTCCCTATCACCTTCTTTTCAATTTACCAGACCGAGTAACATCGTGTTGCGTATGAGACGACTATCCATCGCTAGCTGGTTAGAAAATTATATTACTTTTCATGACCTGTTGTCGTTTTGGACTTGCATGAAACTTTTTCTTACACTTTATTTTTTAACTAGATGACCACAGCAATCGGTGGGCAAATCACCACCCACCCCACTGGCTGTATTAATCGCCCCAACAACTCTTAACTATACCTACAATATGCCTTAACTATACCTAAACCTGAACTGACCTGAACTGACCTGACCCTAATCCTGCTGACCAGTTTCAAACGTTCACAGGGACATCGGCCTCCTGGCCAGACATCCCCCGCTATGCGCCTCATGCCAAGCGGCGACATATGAGGGTAGGGCCACCCGCTGCGCCGACAAGGTGGTGTGGCGTTGTCGCGCCCAAGGGTGCCGGTGTACCTTACCAATAAGAAAAGGCTCTTTTTTAGCGCAGTCACGCCTCCTTGAAGGCGCTGGTGCTGGCTGTTTATTATTATGCAGCCCAGGCACCACTGTACCTGGTCGCAAGGGAGTCGGGGCTCTCCCAGCCGACCCTTGTGGATTGGACAAACTTCCTGAGAGAAGTGAGATTTAGTGAGGTGGACATTCGATGCGTGAACGGTGTCATTGTTTTTAGATACTGGTTTGCCAAAAAGTTTCGGGCACATAATTTGTAATTACAGAAGAGCACTTTCAGGAGCGCTCTGATCATACTTACGTGTGCATTGTGATGACCACAAACTCCGACTAGCACGCCCATTACAGAGGTCCAGCAAACTGTGACCGATATGGCTCGTATCTTCCAGCCAAACATTCGGAGATTTGGTCCACGTGATCGTACATGTTCACGATGCATCGCACATGTTAAAGATGCCTTCATATCATAATATTGTTCATCATAGGTTTATTGTTGTGTTATTTGTTATATTTATAATGGTATTGTCTTTTTTCATTGACTATGTCTACAGGTTTACTGATTTGTCATCATAAGTTTATTACACGGGAGTGTCAAATAATGGTGCTGTAGTGAAACCTAAAGTGTATCGCGGGTACACACGTGTAATCGACCGCGGACAGGAAAATGGCTTTAAGACCTCTGTGTTTTCTCTTATATATTTGCTTCTGAAGCAGTACAGAGCTGGCAAAAAGCAAAGCAAACATGCGGGTATTCGCAGCCGCAATGTAGCACACGTAGACAGGGCAGCGAACTTATCACCATTTAGCACTTAACATACCCAATATTAAATGATCGCAATGTATTCCGAAGCGGATGAAATGTGCTAACAGTGCATACCTGTAAGTACTTTCACGACACCCTTAACTTGTTGGACCTGCTTGACCTGACCTAGATTGGCTCAACATGAAAACCACAGCTTTTGTGCCATGAATGTTGCATTCTGGCGACAAAACAGCTGGGTAAAAGAAGTAAATATAACTTTCCCCATCCCTTCATCCCCGCGTGTATGCAGGGCAGCCACTATCTCCTCGACAAGATCACTGCAACGGCGACATTTGTGCGTAACAATTGGTGACCATGAGCATGAGCGCTACCTCGAATGCTCCATAGCAGCCGTCTAGTTTGCTTTTTATGGGGGTTCGAACTCCACCCAACAGCTTCTACCTGGCAGTTAGTAAGTGCAGGGCTTAGTCTCTTTTGTGCATTTTGGGAGGATGAGTGATCATTTTTCGTTACTGAGCACTACCCTTAACGTGTTTCGCAACACTACTTTTTCA